GTCAGACGCGCTTCCCCGCAGCAACGCTAGGGGGAACTAAATAGCTTCCAATTGACACTGGGAACACCGGGGGGGGCGCCGCTTTCCCTCCACCCGAGGAACACAGCAGGCATTGCTTTGTTAACGTGTCCCAAGACGGATAGAAAAACTGATCCACGGGTGAAAGGATACATTGATCTTCTCTTTCATCTAGAACCGCTTCAAACAACAAAGAGGATGCAGAAACACAGCAGGATGGAGAATTCCAAGCCATCTATACTGTTCAACTCAATTGAAAACAAAAAAATTCTCCAGAGGGGGAAGCAAAAGAACTGAAATCATACGATCGCACCGTCGAAGGGGAGTCAGCACACACCTGCTGCCATTTCAACTGCCTCTGACGAACACCATCTCAAGTTTTGACGTTCTAGTTGCCTTTTTTTTTTTTTACATTTCTTTGCTTTCTTGCCGAAGCCCTTGAAAGTGCTTTTGGCTCGCCCCTGTTCTCGTAGCCCCCCTTTTTTCAATTGGTTTCGAGCAGAATCCTGAAGAGCTTTCCACTGTCGCGCCGAATGCTGTTTGGGACCGTTTAGTGCTTCGGCCTTACCACAAATCCATTTCAGCTGTTCCGATTGGTTAGACGGGTTATCGGTGACATGAATTCTGTCAACTCAACACAAGTGTATTTCTGGAGCACTTTCAAAGAGCCGTCGCTGCATCCAAAGTGCTGTACGTGGAGCAACTAACATAGACGCAGCAATAAAGCAATAAATCGGTCACCAAGATGGTAGAAGGCACCAAACGGTCCAACAAAGATCAAATGGGAGTCATGCTGAGTCAAACGCCAAAGAATCCAAATGAGTTTTGGGGCGGCTTTGAAAGCTGGGCAGCGAGGGGGCTTGCCACGAATGGCGGAAAAAGGTTGGAAATCGTTCCGAGTGCCCATTTTTAGGGCCACGTTTCTCTATCCGTTCATCCGTCGTGTGGGGAAGGTGTCTCGATGCCCAAACGCGCACCGAAGCTCGTCATCGGCATTGCGCAAGCGACTAAGTAGGGAATGAACAATGAACGACCCGAATGGGGAGAGCGCAGCTTTCTTTTGATCCGAGCGGAGTGCGGTGGAGTTATCGTGCGTGCGTGCGTGCGTGCGTGCGGGCGCGCGCGGCGCGAGCGCAGAATCCAAGCGCGTCACTCGAAGGCGAGAGACTCGCGCGCATTCGCGGTTCGGCGCCTGGGAAGATGCGCACGGCGGGCTGCGCGCGCACTGCTCTTGCCGCGGAGGGGGGTGGCCGGGCGGCAAACTTGCGCCGACGGCAACTATCGAGCGTGTGAAAGCAAGAGAGAGAGGGAAAAGGAGCGAGCGATCCGCACCATGGCAGCCGCGCGCAGGAAATTCGGCGAGGACTACCGGGCGGTGGACGGCGGCCGGGGCACGGCTTTCCGCGCGCCGGCCAAGAGGAAGAGGCAGCGCTTCGTGGAGAAGAACGGCCGCTGCAACGTGCAGCACGGCAACCTGGGCGGCGAGACCGGCCGCTACATCTCGGACCTGTTCACCACCCTGGTGGACCTCAAGTGGCGCTGGAACCTGCTCATCTTCATCCTGACCTACACGGTGGCGTGGCTGGCGATGGCCTCCATGTGGTGGCTCATCGCCTACGTCCGCGGCGACCTGAGCCGCGGCGGCGGCCGCGACGCGTCGGCCCACGCGCCGTGCGTGGCCAACGTGTACAACTTCCCCTCCGCCTTCCTCTTCTTCATCGAGACCGAGGCCACCATCGGCTACGGCTACCGCTACATCACCGACGAGTGCCCCGAGGGCATCCTGCTGTTCCTCTTCCAGTCGCTGCTGGGCTCCGTCGTGGACGCCTTCCTCGTCGGCTGCATGTTCATCAAGATGTCGCAGCCCAAGAAGCGCGCCGAGACGCTCATGTTCAGCCGGGACGCCGTGGTCTCGCGGCGGGACGGCAAGCTCTGCCTCATGTTCAGGGTGGGCAACCTGAGGAACAGCCACATGGTCTCGGCGCAGATCAGGTGCAAGCTCATTCAGGTAAGAAAGTTCCGCTTCGAGCCTTCTCGCGCGGCTGCAAATCAGCGTCCGTTTGGCACCCGACGCTTCTTGGCGTGAGAAGTTGACCTTCAAAGACAACGGCGGCACAGCCGTCTCGAGGCAAAGCCCGCAACTTTGCCTGACAAAAGTCTCCCAGATGCGAAGACCGTCAGAAAGGCGGTCGTGAAACTGGCGTTGACGTTAAGGGATGGAGATGTGAACAGAAATAGTGACGCGGCACGCAAAGACGGACAATCTAACAATGCTCATGTGCACTTTACCCCTTGGCAAAAATGCTCACTATTACTGTAAGCCACGCCACGCGATGTTGAGATTGGGCTTTTCCCAGTCTTGGCCTGACCACAACATCAAACGTCCTTGCCGGGATGGGACACAACTAATGCGAATGGCTCTCCTCCCGGGAAACGCCCGCTGTGGAAATTCAAGATGGCGTGATGAAAATCGGCGCCCTTCGACCAAGGGAGCAAATGAACCCGGAGAAAAAAAAAAAAGAAGGAATCAGTTGCGTGCACCTTGCCCGGCTGGACAACGGCTGCAATGGTCACGATCGACACCATATGGAGCAAACGTCTTTCGGGCTGTCGAGCAAGAATTTGCCAATGCATCCGGAGGACTGAATCCGATCGGGGAGTGGGCTCCACCGTCGTTTCTCATCGGGCGCTTGGGTCTCCTGATCTCAATTTGTTGATCAGCGTCGAGCGCTGCGATTCTCGGTTTCTGAGCACGCACGCCCAGCAGCGCCGGTCGAAAGGGCCATCCGGCGCGAGATGGGAGACAGGCCGGGGATCTGCGGGCGCAGACGTCTTCCTGTGAAATGTGGCACCCTCCCGTCCTCCGCGTCCCCGCCGATACAAATGACTGTTTGCCATCTGCGCCCGCTCGCTCCAAAAAGAAAAAAACAAAAAACGGGAAGCCGAGCAAAAACGTCGGCGGCTCCGTTTTAGTTAGCGTGCGGCGTCATTGAGGTCACAGACATTTGAAAACGGGTGCGAAAAGGCACAATCGACCTTGTCGTGTCCCTTGGTCCCAAAGTGCTTTGACGTCGTCAATAGCAAAAAAAAGATGGCTCCGGGGCCAAGTTGGATTTCCTCCCCCCCCATGTACTCGTGTTTCCCAATGCGAAACCAGATGCGAAAAGATGACGTCACTCGCTTGGGCTTTCTGCCCAGCAAGAAATTGACAAGACAAGACAAGACGGAGGCCTTTGCCGCCTGCTGAGGACCAACCGGCGGAGCGCGCTCCGCTTCGAGCTCCCGGGCCGTCGGCGGGGCACAAGACGGCACCCCTCCCGATTCCTTGATGAAACACTCCGAGCCGCGGCGCACGCGACACCTTCTCACCTCACCTTCGCCCGTCGCCACGCGCACAGATGCTCCCGGCGAGCACGCGGTGTGCTCGTCCAAGTCGCCGGCCGCCATTTTAGCCGGGGAAACAATCAAACGCGACCGCGTCACTCCGTAGACGACCACAACGTTCTCAGTCTTTCCCAAACTCGTCCAAAGTTACCCACCTAGCAAGTCTTTCCAATCGAATCCAGCCATCATACCAAGAAAGAACACCCGGCGCAGACTGACGGCGTTGTCCGTACGGTGGCCTTTCCGCAGTCTCGTCAGACCCCGGAAGGCGAGTTCCTGCCGCTGGATCAGCGCGAGCTGGACGTGGGCTTCGGCACGGGCGCGGACCAGCTCTTCCTGGTGTCGCCGCTCACCATCTGCCACGAGATCGACAGCAGGAGCCCCTTCTTCCACCTGTCGCGGCGCTCGCTCACCGACGAGCACTTTGAGATCGTCGTCATCCTCGAAGGCATCGTCGAGACCACAGGTGAGAGAGAGGTCGTCGGCCGTCCCCTGCGGGCTCGGCAAATATTGACGGGTGCCCTCCCCGCGGCAGGCATGACGTGTCAAGCCCGGACGTCTTACACGGAAGACGAAGTCCTGTGGGGCCACCGTTTCCTGCCCGTCATGTCCCTGGAGGAGGGCTTCTTCAGGGTGGACTACTCTCAGTTCCACAATACCTTCGAGGTGCCGACGCCTCCCTGCAGCGTCAGGGAGCAGGAGGAGGAGGAGGAGGCGTCGCCGAGGTCGCCCGAGCCGCCGCCCTCCTCCCCGCCGCCGGGGGGCCGCAGGGGGAGGCTCCTCTCGGCCGACGGCGCGGAGACCCCGGAGGAGCGGGGAGGGATGAAGACGGCGGCGTCGAGAGGCCGCCGACGGCCGTCGCCGCGCGTCCGGAGGACCGCTTGCCCCCCAAATTGCGCCGAATGAACGCGCGCCGTTAATTTCTCAGGGCAAACTTTGGGACGGGTTTGGTTCGTTTTTTTTTTCTTTTTTTTTTTCATTTGGTTACGTCGCAGCCTCATTGCGAAATTCCTTTGGTCACGGGTCCACCCGCTCTACCGACTGAGCCGCGTTCACCCGGCAAGACCGACGCTCTGTTGTGAGAGCGGCACGATTGCGGCTATCGGCGGCTTCCGAAAGGGGCCCCGGCAACCCGCTTGACGACCTTCGGTCACCGAGCAACCCGGTGACCGAAGGTTCCATTTCTTCGGCGACACCGGCAAGACGAAAAGGCAAAATCGTGCTGCTTTTATTTGAGACGGGGAAGCAAGCATGAAGTGAAAACAATTGTCAAGGCACACATTTGAGGGTGAAAGAAAAAAAAAATACTAGTATACATAGCGAGAGAGCGATACACACACACACGCACACGATGCTTTGAACGTCCCAAGGTAACGTAAGACAATGTGAAGAAAACGAAGCCTTGCGTATCCGCGGCGGCTCCACTGCACGGGCATCGCAGACAATAAATAACCGCGACGAGGGTTGTAAATGTACCTGCAGGTTTTATTTGCCGTGTGCCGCGCGAGAGACAAGAAGCCATCCAGCCGCTCCTACTGCGAGTCTTTCGATAGCTCACCATCTGTCCCCCCTCCTCCCCCTTGAGCTTCTTCCGTGATGAAACAGACTTGACCTGGAAACAGAGCACCAAAGTGTCAGTGGGCGCCGGTCTCCGTAGCCGTTTGCGAAAGCCCTTTTCTCTCGGACGGCAAATCATTCCGTCGGTAGGATCAAGGTCGAGTGCTTTGTGAGGGAGTTTGTTTGTAAATCGCTCTTGTTGGTCATCCACAACCTAGAAGCCAATGTCAGGAAGGCACTCTTGGCTTTGGGGAAAACCCTTCCCGCAGCGCACGCCTCCCAAAAGTTGCTCGGTGACGTCACCAAGGGACACAAACTACCTCTTTTTCCTCCAAATTCTCTCTGGCGTTTAGCGGCTGCGCAGGAAAGGCCTTAGCGAGCGAGCCCGATCCCATTTGCTGTGGTGTCACCGACGACAAAGGGGACATGGCGACGACGCCATCGGTGAGGGGCCACCGCGGGGCCAGGAGGATTCTGAAGAGACAGACGGTCACTCGGTGAGCCTTTGACGTGCTCGTGAATCCATCGCATTTCTTTTGACAAGCCACTGTGAAGAGACTGCAAGACAAAAACATGAGCGAGTTGCCCCCGGTTATTGAGCTGGAAATGTCCGGTCCTGGATGTGTGGCCCGATGTTTTTGCCAAAAGCCATGCCCTCAATAAAGGCCATCCTCGGACTCCGTTTTATTCAACAACAACAACAAAGCCAGAGTATAAAAATATACTCCAGCTACTTTTATACACTTTGTTGCTGGGGCAATTGAAACAGTTTTTAACTTGAAAACTAGAAAAAAAAGGAACAATTTATCTTGTTTTCATTTCTTTGATACCACAAAAAACCTGGCAGTAAGTACTCTGATATGGCTTTGCAATGGCATCAAGGTTCAATCTTCTCAAGTCTTGTGGCACTCGAAAACAAGCATGGCCGCATACAAGGTGCCGCACGTGGAGCAAATATCGCAGATGCAACAAGAAACAATCATTGCGCCGTAGCAAAGAGAGCGGAAAGCAGAAAAACACTCAAACTAAAAATCAAGTCCGAGTCATGCTGAGTCAAAAGCCAAAGAATACAAATGAGTGTTGAGAGCAGTTGCAGAAATGCGCGCCTCAGAACCCTGAAAAAGTCCAGCGGCAACACTTTCTGCCCTTCTAACGCGGAGCCCAAAACGACGGCTCGTGTCGTATTCTTTCCCAAAGCTACCGCTCCAAAAGCGACACGTCATCGTCGGCCTCCCCACGCGCTACTCGTGCTCTTCAACGGAGTCATCGACATGACGCCCGCGAGTTCAAATGTTCTTTGGAGGCTTTCCACCACACCGTGAGTCACCGGCGGCGCGACGTGGGAGACGCCGGCGCCGGCCGGCTCTGCCCACGCGGTCAGACGCTCTCGGGAGGAGAAGCGGCAGAGCAAGCCGACCGCACATCCGCGCGGACCAGATGCTCATCCATAGTCAATGAGTGCACCAAAAAAAAAAAAAAAGGTAGAAAGATGACAGCTGCTGGAAAAGCGCAGCGTCATTAGTGCTACAAGATGCCCGACTTTGACAAGCAGCCATCGACAGGGGGGCCAAAAGTGCGCCATCAATAAACACGGCGCGATTACCACACAACGGCCTCATGCCTGTCTTCTTTCTTTTCTGATGCGACACTACAAAACGTAGTGGCGCATCAGAAAAGACGACGTTTAGCCACGCCAGCGAGCCACTCGTCGCTTCCAGGAAGCGTGCTGGCTTAGTCCCGAAAAGCCGTGAGCAAGGTTGGAACGTGACCGCTGCCCCTCTATTGTGCTTAAGCATGATTGCAATATGCATTCAAAAAAAAGAAACGGGACCCCTTCCGCCTCTCCCAAACAATTCCGCCATCGACTCCGCCGCGCGCGTCATCCGAGCGAGGGGCCCATTTTGAATGCGCACGAAACTCCATCGACAACGTTTGATTTTTCATCGCAGCCGACTCGCGAAGGGCTGAGATGAGACAATGGCATCGGCATCGGCATGGAATTCGAAAGAAAAGCTCCCGGAGGGCCGCGTCCGCAACGTTTCCGTGCTTCGGCTCTCGTCGACCTTGTTCTCGTCTTAGAAGGGCAGACGTGCGTTAGACTGGAACCTCATTGCCTTTCAAGCGCTTTCTAGGATACTCAAATCTTCCATCTCATTCAAAAGCTGCCTCAAGAATGAGACGTGAACAAAGCCTGTGACACACAAACACACACATACACTCGCGTCCACATGAAAAGCAACCTGCGTAAGAATAATAGCGTCGTCGGAACACGATGCGGTACAGCCCAGAGATGAAAGAAATTCCAATAAAGCGGTCGGCACCTCATTCACGCCCCCCCTGTTCATGAATCATGCGAACAATCCATCTGGCGGCGCGCGTGTCCTCCAAGATTTCATTCAAGGTACGCCTGGAATGAAGTCTCAGAATGAAGCGTTTGTCTTTGGATCGTGTTTGTCTTTCCGCCGCAGCAGTGACCCAGAAGAAAAACAACCACCACAAAAGATGGAGCAGCTGAGCAAACGAGCCCTCCACTTTGGCAAGTGCACAGAAATGCGGGCGGGGTCTGCCGCGACAAAAGTTGAGGTGTCAAAAGCGAGACGCTGTGCCGCATGACTAGAAACGAACATTGAATGCAACTGGATCATTTCCGATGAACAATGTTTTTTTTTTTTCT